ATAATTTTTGATATCATGACACGAATGTTTCTAAAAAATTAACTGGTTTATCGTCACAAAGCTAGAACTGTCAGAATAAACACGTGGTATTTGTCACTGTCAACATACGCTTATGGGTGGTACTTATTCAAATATTGTTTGCTTGTGTGGGCTGGGATTCTTAACTTGAATTAATCCAAGTCGTCCAAACTCACACGCCTGTTGACTTTTCCGGTATAATTTTTTTTATTAAGTTTACAAGCGTGAATAATACCGCGGCCAGGTTTACGTTGCTTTGATTTATGGAAATCATATCGTGTTCACGACTAGACAATTTTTACCTTCGCACAATCGATCTCAATAGCCTTAAATATACACGGTAAAGGAAGATCGTGTCACTTTCCCCTACTATTAGTCGTGCTTTAAGTTATGATACAAACCAGAAAGAACTAAAGCTGATCGAAATAAAACTAGGTTACATAAGGACCTACCTTTCACGAGGGAGTATTGACGTGTCGATCGAAATTTCTAGGTGACTTGCGGTGCAGAAGCGCTAGGTAACCACCCACTCCCCGAACTTTTTTCGAGGTCACGCAAATAACTGCGTGACGTAACCCAAAAGTAATAGGGTAAAGCATCATGGGACACCAGTTACTTCTCAAGATGGCGGCCCAACCAAGTTCAGGTGATTATTAGTTTATTTTTGATGTTCTCTGCACTAAAGAAGGAAAGGTATCAAAAAAATTTTTAGCATACGTTTAATTCTTAAAGCCTTTCCAATGTTCAGTGATGAGACTCAGGAATACTTCGTCAGTTATTTATCCTTAACAATGGCGGAAGTTTAATTTGGCGATGTCGACTAATCATTTTACAAACTGTTTCACTCCGTTTTCTCTCTCTTTTGTTTTATCAGCGTTTTCTGTTTTCTGGATACATATGAACATCATTGCGTTTCCCTAGGTATCTTTTTTTACTAAACCTCGTTCAGCATCAGGTGATTACTTAGCATCGATCGCATGATGATTGTGCTATTATTAGCCATGTTTATTTTAGATATATCAACAAAGTTGAAATGGTGAATTGGCCACCGTAACGATTACAAAAGCAGACGTTTCGCTCCGACGAAGGGCTAACGTCAGCTTTTGTAATCGTTACGGTGGCCAATTTACCATTTCAACTTTGTTGATATATCCAAATTATTTCGTTACTCCCACCGACGCAGCCCTAAACAGTTTCTTTCGAAACTATCAGCCTTTATTCATGTTTATTTTAATTTGTTTAAATTTTCTCACCCAACACCTCGTTCAAGGAAGGTAACTTATGAATAATCAGATGTAAAGGAGTATCTTTTAGCTTTTAATATACGGCGCTTAAAAATAAATGTGGAATTATGAAGACAAAGAAGATCTCAGATCTTGGAATCTTCCTTGTCTCAAGATCTCCTCAAAGAATCTTTCAATTCCAACCATTAATAATTGGCACAATGAACATGATATCTCAGTCAACAAGTGCTTTTTCTTGTTGTTGTGTGTCGATACATCTGACTAGGTGTCAACCGTTATTCTTGTGCATTTTTACTGCCTTTTGACTGTTGATTAAAGTTTGGAAAGCATTTTGCTGTTGACTAGAATAACTCATTTGTTCACAAAGTTGCTCTTAAAAGTCTTACTCTGGTTTTGATGGTGAACTGTTTATAAACATGTTGCTCTGCATGTTGTAAATCCCTACACACCATTCCACCATTTAGTAGTCAAGAGCTTAATTTCTACCTCCA